CAAATTGCAAGATGGTGGAAACAACCTCAGTGCCCATCAACAGATGAATGGATAAACAAATTGCAAGATGGTGGAAACAACCTCAGTGCCCATCATCAGATGAATGGATAAACAAATTGTGGTACATACATACAATGGAATACTACACAACTATAAAGAATAATAAGGAGTCCACAAAACATCTTATAACATGGATGAATCTGTCGGACATTGTGCTGGGTGGAATGAGTTAATCACAAAAGGACAAATATTATATGGTCCCACTACTGTAGAAAGTCAGGAATAGACACATGCACAGACAGCTGTGGTCTTTGATGGTTACCAAGGAGGGGAGGGAGAGAGAATCACTTTCTAGACAGTAGACACTTGTTATTTTTGGTGATAGGAAAGGCAATACTAAATATGAGTGAAGTCTGTACAACTTGACCAAGGTAAATGAAGTCACTAAGAAGTCTACAAGAAAATGTTGTGTATGTTGTAAATGCTATAACATATGCAATTCTGCAACAACAGTAGTTAACAGACAAAAAATACGTGTGTGGTTACATGAATAGATATGTACGCATGTATGTGTATAGGAAGGCGTGTTCGAGTACACGTGCATGCAAATATAGGTGTACCTGTAGACATAACGTATATACATGTTTGTGTATGCTGGATATATGTAATAAACCACATAAGGGGCATAGTTATGGAAACTTCCTAGACATGTCCATGTAACTCACGGGATTGGTTTAGTGGGTTAAAAGGCTTAGGACCATAGTCTTACGGGATAACTCAGTCAATTGCCATAACATAGTTCATAAAGATAATGTTCTCTATCCTATTTTGGTGAGTAGTGTCTGGGGTCTTAAAAGCTTGCAAGCGGCTATCTAATAAACAACCACTGATCTCTACTTGATTCTGGAGTTAAAGAAAATGAAGGAAACTGAAGACTTAAAGAAGAAACTAGACCACAGCACAAATAGCCCACGTGAACCACAGCCTCTTCTCACCTGAGACCAGAAGAACTAGATAGTGCCCAGCTACCACTACTGACCGTTCTGACCAGGGACACAATAGACAGTCCCAGACAGAAAAGGAGAAAAATGTAGAACAAAATCCAACTTCCTAAAAGGCCAGACTTATTGGACCAGTAAAGACTAGAGGAACCTCCAAGACTGTCGCCCTAAGATACCCTTTGAACTTGGAACTGAAGCTACTCCTGGGGGTCACCTTTCAGCCAAATAATAGATTGGCTTATAAAACAAACAATGTCATCCATGAGTAAATGTACTCCCTTAAGCAATCAACTATATGAGACCAAACTGTCAACATTTACCCAAAAGCAAAGATGAGAAGGCGAGGAGGGAAAGGGAAGCTAGATCAGTGGAAACAGAACAAACAGAATGGAAATAATGAGAATGCTGACACCTTGTGAAAATTATAACCAATGTCACGGAACAATTTGTATAGAAATTGTTAAATGGAAACCCAATTAGCTATGTAAACTTTCACCTAACACAATAAAATACTTAATTAAACAAAAAAAAAAACTGATGGGGAACTTTAAAATGGATACATGAACCTGATCACCCCTGAACTCACTGATTAAGTTTAACATCACAAAAAGACAACCTGACAACCTGTTGATGCAATGGAGAGCATATGACGCCCACCTATATAGTGCCCACCAAAAAAAAAAGAAAAATCTGATATTGATCAAGCTTCAAAGTTATATCACTTTATAGAAAATAATGAGTGATAATCACCAAAATCCAGAATGTGGAAAACTATATAGGACAGATCAACCAGATTCTTTCACAAATAAATGGCAAAAAAGGAGGAGTCACAGGAATCGCCTTAGCTTAAAGTGGACTTTAAGAGAATTGTTAGGCAAATGCAATGTATAGGCCTTGTTTGGATACTGAGTCAAACAAATAACTCTAAAATGACATTACAAAGCAGTTGGGAAAATCTGAGCACTAACTGGATATTCCCCCACTTGTCTGTCAGTTTGTTGTAGTGTAGGGGCTTGTGTGTTGCTGTGATGCTGGAAGCTATGCCACTGGTATTAAAATACCAGCAGGGTCACCCATGGCGGACAGGTTTCAGCTGAGCTTCCAGACTAAGACAGACTAGGAAGAAGGACCTAGCGATCTCTTTCTGAAAAGAATTAGCCAGTGAAAACCTCATGAATAGCAGCAGAACATTGTCTGATATAGTGTCAGAAGATGAACCCCTCAGGTTGGAAGGCACTGAAAATACGACTGGGGAAGAGCTGCCTCCTCAAAGTAGAGTTGACCTAATGACGTGGATGGAGTCAAGCTTTCGGGACCTTCATTTGCTGATGTGGCACTACTCAAAATGAGAAGAAACAGCTGCAAACATCCATTAATAATCAGAATATGGACTGTACGAAGTATGAATCTAGGAAAATTGGAAATTGTCAAACATGAAATGGAACACATAAACATCGATATCCTAGGCATTAGTGAGCTGAAATGGACTGGTATTGGCCATTTTGAATTGGACAGTCATGTGGTCTGCTATGCCAGGAATGACAGCTTGAAGAGGAATGGCATTGCAGTCATCATCAAAAAGAACATTTCTAGATCTATCCTGAAGTACAGCTTTGTCAGTGATAGGATAATATCCATATGCCTACGAGGAAGACCAGTTAATACGACTGTTGTTCAAATTTACACACCAACCACTAAGGCCAAAGGTGAAGGAATTGAAGATTTTTACCAACTTCTGCAGTCTGAAATTGATCGAACATGCAATCAAGATGCACCGATAATTACTGGTGATTGGAATGCAAAAGTTGAAAACAAAAAAGAAGGATCAGTAGTTGGAAAATATAGCCTTGGTGATAGAAACGATGCCAGAGAGTGCATGATTGAATTTTGGAAGACCAACGACTTCTTCATTGCAAATACCTTTTTTCACCAACATAAACGGTGACTATACACATGGATCTTGCCAGATGGAATACACAGGAAACAAATAGACTACATCTGTGGAAAGAGACAATGGAAAAGCTCAATACCGTCAGTCAGAACAAGACCAGGGGCCGACTGCAGATCAGACCATCAATTACTCTTACGCAAGTTCAAGATGAAATTAAAGAAAATTAGAACAAGTCCACGAGAGCCAAAGTATGACCTTGAGTATATCCCACCTGAATTTAGAGACCATCTCAGGAATAGATTTGATGTGTTGAACACTAATGACCAAAGACCAGACGAGTTGTGGAGTGACATCAAGGACATCATACATGAAGAAAGCATGAGGTCATTAAAAAGACAGGAGAGAAAGAAAAGATCTGAATGGATGTCAGATAAGACTTTGAAACTTGCTTTTGAACATCAATTAGCTAAAGCGAAAGGAAAAATGAAGTAAAAGAGCTGAACAGAACATTTCTAAAAGACAAAGTATCATGATGACTTGTGCAAAGACTTGGAGATAGAAAACCAAAAGGGAAGAACACGTTCAGCACTTCTCAAGCTTAAAGAACTGAAGGAAAAACTCAAGCCTCAAATTGCAATACTGATGGGTTCTACAGGGAAAATATTAAATGACACAGGAAGCATCAAAAGAAGGTGGAAGCAATACACAGAGTCACTATACCAAAAAGAATTGGTCAATATTCAGCCATTTCAGGAGGTAACATATGATCAGGAACCAATGGTACTGAAGGAAGAAATCCAAGCTGCACTGAAGGCATTGGCAAAAAACAAGGCTCCAGGAATTGACAGAATACCAATTGAGATGTTTCAACAAACAGATGCAGCGTTGGAAGTGCTCACTAGTCTATGCCAAGAAATTTGGAAGACAGCTACCTGGCCAACTGACTGGAAGAGATCCGTATTTATGCCTATTCCCAAGAAAGGTGATCCAACCGAATGTAGAAATTATCGAAAAATATTAATATCACATGCAAGCAAAATTTTGCTGAAGATCATTCAAAAGTGGGTACAGCAGTATATGGACACAGAACTGCCATAAATTTAAGCCAGATTAAGAAGAGGACGTGAAACCAGGGATATCATTGCTGATGTCAGATGAATCCTGGCTGAAAGCAGAGAATACCAGAAAAAGGTGTTTACCTGTGTTTCATTGACTATGCAAAGGCATTCGACTGTGTGGATCATAACAAATTATAGATAACATTGCGGAGAATGGGAATTCCAGAACACTTAATGGTGCTCACAAGGAATCTGTACATGGATCAAAAGGCAGTCGTTCGAATAGAACAAGGGGATACTGCATGGTTTAAAGTCAGGAAAGGTGTGTGTCACTATACCTATTCAATCTGTATGCTTAGCAAGTAATCTGAGAAGCTGGACTATACGAAGAACAGGGCATCAGGACTGGAAGACTCATTAACAAAGTGTGTTATGCAGATGACACAACCTTGCTTGCTGATAGTGAAGAGGACTTGAAGCACTTACTGATGAAAATCAAAGACACAGCCTTCAGTATGGATTGCAGCTCAAAATAAAACAAAAATCCTCACAACTGGACCAATAAGCAACATCATGATAAACAGGGAAAAGCTTGAAGTTGTCCAGGATTTCATTTTACTTGGATCCACAATCAACACACATGGAAGAAGCAGTCAGGAAATCAAAAGATGCATTGCATTGGGCAAATCGGCTGCAAAAGACCTCTTTAAAGTGTTGAAAAGCAGTGATGTCACCCTGAGGACTAAGGTGCGCCTGACCCAAGCCATGGTGTTTTGAGTCGCATTATATGCATGTGAAAGCTGGACAGTTAATAAGGAAGACCGAAGAAGAATTGACGCCTTTGAATTATTGTGTTGGTGAAGAATATTGAATATACTGTGAACTGCCAAAAGAACGAACAGATCTGTCCTGGAAGAAGTACAACCAAAATGCTCCTTAGAAACAAGGATGGCGAAACTATGTCTCACATACTTCGGACATGTTATCACAAGGGATCAATCCCTGGAGAAGGATATCATGCTTGGTAAAGTAGAGGGTCAGTGAAAAAGAAGAAGACCCTCAGCAAGACGGATTGACACAGTGGCTGCAACAGTGGGCTCAAGGATAGCAACAATTGTGAGGATGGTGCAGGACTGGGTAGTGTTTCGTTCTGTTGTACATAGGGCTGCTGGGAATCAGAATCAACTCAATGACACCTAACCACCACAACAACGACTGGATATTTGGTGATGTGAAGTTACTAGAGATACATATTAAAGTATTTCTATACTAAAATGTGTCTGGGATTTGCTTTAAAACAATTTGAGCAGTGGTGGGTTTGGAGAGTAGCAGCAGGAGGAACAGGTGTAGGTGAAACAAGACTGGCAAGGTGTGGATAATTATTGAAGCTGGGCGTACAGGTTTCATATATTATTGACTTTTTAATGTTTGAAATTTCTGTAAGAAAGAGAAGAAAGATTAATTTCAAGCAAAAATGTTAACAGCTGGTAAATATAGGTGATGGTTAAAATATCAGTCTTGGAAGTGAAGTGCTGATACATGAATGAACCTTGAGAACATTATGCTGAATGAAATAAGCTGGACACAAAAGGACAAATACTGTATGATTGCACTTATATGAAGTACCTAGAATAGACAAATGCACAGGGACAAAAGTTTACTAGTGGTTACCAGGGCAGATGGAGGGAAAGATGATGCGGTATTGCTTAAGGGGTACTGAGTTTCTAGTAAGGGTGATGAAAAAACCTTGGAAAAGGTAACGGTGATGATTGTGCAGTATGGTGAATGTAATTAACATCACTGATTTGTACACTTAAAAATGGTTAAAATAACAGAGTTTGAGGGTGGTGAAAAATTTGCAAATGGATAACAGTGATAGTTGTACAACATGGTGAACATAATTTATGTTTTTGAAATGTGCATGTGAAAACTGTTGAAATAAATGTTTTGTTACATATATTTTACCACAGTAATTTTTTTTTAATCTATTTCAGTAGTCCCCAGGATGCAACACCAATCACAAATCATGAATCAGAAGACCACCCTGAGGGAAATACAAAGGACAATGTTCATGAACAGGAAGAAACTGTCATTTCTTATGAACTAACTCCTGAGGTTTCTAGAGGAAATCAAACGGTGCCAGGTAGATAGTACACGTTTCATCCTTTTTTCCCTGATGCGTTCTCTGAACTTCTGAATGTGTTTTCCATGTGTAGATTCTAGCAAGGGAGCCACTTAAGTACCTTGACTGCAGATTGACGAGCCTTTGCCTTCCCTGAGGGACAGACTTAGAAAAAGAGGAAAGGGCAGCAGCAGCCTAACCAGCTGGAGCCCCACAGAACGGACTCTGGCTTGGGGATCAGTGCTTTCAAATCACTATCTTATTCTTTTTTCCCTTCTTTTTTGAAGTCTTAATATGTACTGTAAATTTTTTCTAATGAACGTGATCCTTCGTTACTTAAAAGATTTGCTGTATTTTCGAGAGTATTCACCAATTTGCTGCTTTGGGAACTGTGGAGGATTTAGTATCTAAAGTAGTAGAATGGATGTGTTTACTCTAGCCCCTACTATATTCTACATCTATGTTTGTCTTTGATAGTAGATGATTATGATCCACAGAATGTTTATTAAAAAAAAAAAAAAGTCATTCTATGCTATCATTCTGCCATATTTTTATGGAATCTTCCTAAATCTGTTTGCCTTTTCTTTTTTTTTTTTTCCTTTATAATTTTTTTTGGAAGGGTTCATACCACATCTGTATTACCAGCTTTGCTTCCTCTATTCCATAAGCAAAACACCATCCCTAGTAATATACTGCCCACCCCATCCGTTCTGCAGAAGGGCGAGTACCCTATATTCAATGACTCAAGGCTGCCGTATTCTTCTTAAGAAGAGCTTGAAGGTTCTGGACAGAGGCTTTTCTGTGTCTTATCTACATAGAACATAAACATTTGTATTATCAGTCATGTTTCTTTGTGACAGGTATTAAACCCTGTCTGTTGGTTTGCCTCTATCAGTTGTAAGACAATGTGCACGGAAGTTCTCGCTTTTTTTTAACTTGTTACTGGCCACTTTTAGTTGTTTAGATAGAGTAAGTCTGGATCAAAGCAGTGTGGTAGTTTTAAACCCACAACATTTAACTCCTCAATAGTATTTAGCAAGAGTCCCTGGGTGGTGTAAACCGGCAATGCTCTTGGCTTAACCGAAAGGTAGGAGGTTTAAACCCACCCAGAGGTGCCTCAAAAAAACGGCCTGGCAATCTACTTCCAAAAAATAAGCCACTGAAAACTCTATGGAGCACAGATCTACTCTGAAATGAGTCAGAATCAACTCCACAGCAACTTTTTGTTTGTTTTGTTTTAAATATATAGTATTTACCTACATGGGACCAGAAAAGCTTTTAAAAGCAAGACAGAATGGGACCTAACAGGAGAGATTCACTGATAGACACGTGAATATTAACTTCAAAGGAAAAAAAAAGAAAATTTCTAATGAGTTCTTAGATTAGAAAATAACAGCAGCACCCAAATGTGACTATTCTTTCCCAAAACATGTTCTCGTTGTCGCAGCATCCGCATTTTCTCCTCCAGACCTGTCTTAAAGATTTTTGTCTTCTCGCATTTTCTTGGTGTGTTGTAGTGAAAAGTCTCCCCCAGTCTCCTGAGTCCCCGACTTCACCAGTGCCGTCTACTCAGCCGCAGCTCATGGAAGGATCGCATTTCATGTGTGTGTAGTCTCCGAAGAAGTACGTCCTTTCCCTTTGTATTATACTTCACTGTTACAGTGTCTCACTTGAGTTTTATTCATTCGTTAGCTTAGTGGATAAAAACTGGGATTAATTCTGGACTGTACATTAGGGATAATTGGCAGAGCACACAGGCCATGTGTTTGACCCATGGGCAGTAACTCTGGTTTCCTAGAATGGTCCTTCGCTGTGTGACAGCATTTTCTGTCTCTTATTTCATCATCTGTAAAAACAGCAAAACTTGGAGGCTATGTTCTGCCCCAAGACAAGCCTCACAGTGTTCTGCAGCTGTGCTTCCACTTAGCGTTCCTTTTCATAATCTGATCTGAAAATTCTGTTTAAGTCATTACATGTGGACCGTGTAGTATTTTTTATAGTTCGCATGACATGTCTACCTCATTGGGAGTTTGTTAATTATTTTAAAGGACGAAGAAATATTTATGGTACAGCTACCTTGATGGAACATTAAAATCTTTAAGATCTATGAGGAATTATTTCTTGATTTTTTAAGTCAGGGACATAACTACTAAAAAAGCCATCTTAGAAGCATGGACAGTAGGGGCAAGAAGGAAGAGAAAGGAAGGCTTTCTTGAACAATGTTCTTTAGACCACAGATTTAGAACTGAGAAGAATTTCCTAGGGTCTTACTTATAGAATTTCTATGCAGTTACTAATTTTTTTCCCTGCAGTTTTGTAATTATAGATGAATACTTTAGTTTTTTCACTTTTCAGAAAAGTTGTAAGTTATAAAATGAGAATTTTATGCCTCTTTCTGCAATTTTTTCTCGCAGTATCTACCAGGTCTGGTAATCCTTGGTGCTTTAGGATTACTGCTGATTTCTGTTAAACAGTTAAAAGTTGTGTGAACACAGAGACATTATGAGCATTATTACTAACAACTTTGATTTTTAAATTCTCAAAATAGATAAGTACAAAAACTATCTTGAGTAAGTTCATACAGGAGTGTTTATTTTCTATAATCTATTTCCCTTTACACCTTTTTGTAGCAGCTATAACCACTGTCCTTTTTTCTTTTTAGCCAGAAATAATAATAATCTCTTATAATAACCTCCTTTATTTGAGAATATGTCCACCTGGAGCCCAGAAGAGGCCTTTGTTTGTTGTCATTTGGTATCTATGCACAATTGAAGTTCTTGCTAGACTTAGAAATGACCTATTTGTTATAGTCTTACCTATGTCTTGCTTCTGTCACTCATGTTTTTAAACTTTCAACTTAATACTCTGAGAAGTGACAGTTGCCAGTGGTGACAGAATAACACCAGGCATAGGGTAATAAACATGATGCTCGTTAGAATCCTCCTGTGCAAAGCATTGATAGTTGGCCTCTGTCTAGATTTCAGTGGAGGAATGTACATCCAGAGCCACTCGTTATTTTTTTGGTTCAATAAACAGGTTAGCATTCATTGTGCACAGACCATTCTGATAATAAATAATGTTCAGAGTTAAAACTCACGTACATTTCCAGGTGTCTTAAGGTATTATTGGATTTTGTTTTGTTTTAAATACTTCTACTCCAAGCGCCAGTGGCATTACATTCTGGAATGTTACATATTGCAGATATTTTCTAATCTCATGGCATGCAGCCACTACAGACAGCTAGTGGCACTCAACCTTGTATTTTATAACTTCCCGTTGTGCACATGCCATCTTTCTGAACTAGTAGTTTTCACAAGACTTAGAAAAGCTGTACAAATGGCACGGCTAGGTAGTCAGCTCAATACAGTATTGCATATTTTAGTGAAAGTATGCAAGTCTTCACTCATTTTGTTGATCTCTTGGATTCGGCCACAAATTTGGGTATGTGTTTGATTCTGAATTGCTATTTAATTGTATCATGTTTCTTTGCTTTGTGAATTAAGCTTATGGAAATGAAGAAATGTCCTTTAATTGTATTATGTTTTAGAATTTTCGTGGCCATGCTTGTCAGTTCTGTTGTTACAGAATGTCACCCTTAGTTACTTTGGAAAATGGTCCTTCATTAACTTTGCAGGTGTCAAAGTAATTTCTCGTCTTATTTTTCAGCTATACTGACCTCTTTTGAAACCATTCAAAGCTAAGGCCATGGACCTTCGGCAATGTGAGAAGATATTGTACAGTATATTTTAAATCTATGAAATTCATAGTTCTGATGCTTTTGGCCACAGAGCATCATTTTATCACTTCTGGAAAATGTTTATTCCAAAGCAGCTTTAATGCCCATATGTATACTTGGTAATCTGAACGTTATTATTCTATACACCAGCTTGCTGCTGTGATTTCAGAGCACACAAGTAAAGGTGCTTTTTACTGTGCAGTCTACAGCTAGAGCTTACTTCGTTGCTGATTTCCAGATTTTGATGTTTCTTAAGTCTAGGTGGGCTTATATTTCTTTTTACTTTTCAGTACGTAAATTTAGTTATTATTTCCAATGAAACATGTTTCTTTTTTTTTTCTCCCCGTTTTGGCTACTGCAGTGCTTTGTTTCACACTTGATTTGTAAAAATTTTATATATATATTTAAAATGTGCCATTTTATTATTGCTAAGTGAAGTATGTCCCATTTTCTGCTATAATTATTTCTTAGATTGCCACATCAGCGGCTACTGCCACACTCTTGTCAGCTGAAACACAAATGTTACACTTAGTTTTTCTTAAAAAAAATTAAAAGTGTAGGTATTTTGAAGTACTGGGCTTATACTTCATTGGAATAGATGTGTACAGCAATAAGCAGGTTTTCAAATTCAGTACTTAGTTTGTGTACAAATGTAATTATGTTCATTGTGTATATATTATACAATGAGCACATGTAATGTAAGTATTAAAGGCTACTTACTGTTGTTTAAATGCAAATTGTTCATATCTCATTTCTTTTTTATCATGTTAAAATAAATGTTGATGTTCTTAAATCACTGGTGTTAGAATTTTTGTTCTTTTCCATCTAAAATGGAAAACCTGAGACTCAAGAGTCTTCTAGAAGAAAAAGTAGTCTCTTGATCTTATAATCCTAGACAACATAAAAGGGCCTTATCCCAATCCTCCTATGTCAAAGTGGAGGAAACTGAGGCCCAGAGAGATACATTGACTTGGCCACAATCACATTATATTTAATGACAGAATTTAGTCTAGAATATCATTTTTCTGACTTTTGTCCTCTTGGTCATCAGCTTGTCACCACTGGGCCAATTTCTGTTAGTTTCCACATTTTAGAAATTAGCTTCAGGCATCTGCAGTCCCAGTCTGCCTGGTGGAGTGGACTTGGAGAGAGGCGAGAGGGCAGAGAGGGGCATTTCTGTGACTTGGGTGGCTAGAAACCGTTTCATCAGTAGGACCCTCAGAGATTATTTTCTCTCACAATACATTCTTTGCAGATGTTCACGCTCTTCAGAATCAATTACATTTTCTCCCATTTTATAACCTTTTGTTCATGCTATATATTGTTCCCAGAGTGCAAGGGAATTTGATACTTTTGGATTCCTATATAAAATGGCTGAAATTGAATTGGCACTGGTCAGGTTTTTTTTTTCTTTACTGTATTAAAGGATTTAGATTTCATTCGAAATGCAGATTATAAAAATTCATCTGCTCCAAACAGAAACACACAAAATGAAATGCAAATAGATACAGTTGTAATTGTAGGAGGTCAATGAAAACGGGTGTTAAAATGGAAAGAGAGCGTTTAGCTGTCTGTACCCATATGAATATGGGTTTACAATTTTACTTTTGTCTAAAGATGTCACACAAAAGCCTTCTCAAGGGAAATAATCAACAATTTATTATTTCCCTTTAGTCATGGTATGATTATTGGTATAGATCTTTTGTCAGTGTATTGGGGCAAGAGTTTCTGTTACTGTTTCTTTGAGTTTTATGTTTGTTTGTTGGTTGGTTTGGTTTTTATAAAACACCACATTTTTTAACTATTCCAAGAAGGAAAAATGTTCCTTACAGAGGATAGTCCCTTCACTGGGACACTTGGAAGCCTAGGAAGTTCAGAGACAGGAATAAGAAGAAGCTGTGAACTGTTGTCAACATTTCAGAAAGCCAAATGAAAATCATGTGTTTACAAACAATAAGGTCAGCACAGCGACTTACTACAGGGTGTAATAAAACAGGAGATCACTAATTATTCCAAGATTTGAGCTACATCTCTTTCCATCTCACCTAGAGCTCATCTTATCCAACTCCCCCTATCTTACTGGATGTCTGAGCAGAAAGCACAGGAAGTATGGAGGTCCCTGGGAAGGAGAGCAGATAGACTGGCAGAGCCTTCTAGCCTGAGCGAGGGCAGCACTGTGGGAAACCACCTGTCAGGGGCATGGAGCATGCTCCAAAGTTCTTAGGGCTCAGTGCCCTGTGGGGCTGGTCCCTCAGTTATCACGTCCAAGTCCTCCACGTAGAGAAAGTTAGCAGTTATACCCCTATGGTGGTCAGGAATTAAACAGGCAATTAATGTCACCAAATTGTACACATAAAAATGATTGAAATGGCAAATGCTTTGTTATATGTATTTTACCACAATAAAAAAATTTTCTTCTAATTAAACAAGATGACCGTAAATAAGTGGTCTTCAAACTTTTTTACATATCCTCAAAAGTATTTTTTAAAACTACACACATTTTCAAGTTGACAGCTATAATTTTTCATATGTTGAAATAGTTGAAAGGATGTAATTTCTGCCTTACTGTAGGTAATTGACTTTTTAAAATAAAGCTGTTAACATCATTCTTTTTTTAAATGTATTCAACAGAATCTAAATACTGTTTTAATGTCTTGTTCATCCATTTAAAAACAGAAACAAGCTTTAGGTAGGACAGTTTACATCATTTCTTTTTCTCCTTGAGCTTTTAGTTCCTTGATACATGTCTTAGTCATCTAGTGCTGCTGTAACAGAAATTTCACAGGTAGATGGCTTTAACAAAGAGAAGTTTATTCTCTCACAGTCTAGTAGGCTACAAGTCCAAATTCAGGGCGTCAGCTCCAGGGAAAGGCTTTCTCTGTTGGCTCTGAAGGAGGGTGCATATCATCAGTCTCCCCTAGGTCTGGGAGCTTCTCTGCGTAGGAACCTCAGGTCTAAAGGACGTGCTCTGCTCCCAGCACTGCTTTCTTGGTGGTGTGAGGTTCCCATGTGTCTCTGCTCACTACTGTCCTTTATATCTCAAAAAAGATTGGCTTAAGACAGTATCCAATCACGTATACTTCATCAGTATAACTGCCGCTAATCCATCTTATTAGATCATAGTGATTGAATTTATACCACATAAGGAAATCACATCAGATTACAAAATGGTACACAGTTATACAATACTGGGAATCATGACCCAGCCAAGTTGACAAATATTTTGGGGGGACACAATTCAATCCATGACAGTACATTAACTTTTAATTTTAATTTTTTAAGTTATTTTTAATTTCATCCATTCCTTTGAATGCAAAAAAAAAAAATCTGAATTGCTAAGTGGTATGTTAGCCATAAGAATCATTCACTTTCTCACTACCCTGAAGGTTTTTATACCCTGACTGCAAAGCGTAAGGTTAAGATTCAGAGAAGCAAGTTTTTTATATGTAAAGGAGAGAAGAGCTGACGTGAAAGGGGCACTTCGGCCTCAGGAGTGTTCCTGGGCAGATCTGTTTTAGAAAAGAGCATAGAAAAGTTAAGGATCTAGATACTGAATCCAGTAAACTTGCACTTGCCCACATACCCTTGGAATTTTTTTTTCCTTTAAAGAGATCATTTTTAATAGTAGTAATGAATAGACTCTTAGTTGTTTGATACTCTAGTTAAGGAAAGGAAGGAATTATATGAACACATTGAAGAAATATTTCAATTTCTTGCCGACGTTGACAGCTAACTCATTAATGAATGCTGAAAATGCTAAGAACGTTTAGGATTAGTCATTGCACAGGGAAATTTGAAGAGGCCTGCAATCGTACGAGTCATAGATGAAAGAAACTCGATATTTTCCCAAAGTTGGCAACAATTCTAAACATATACAAAACATTACCAATAGCAAACTGTGGAGCTGGAGGAAACCTTTCTAACCTATCAATATGAGGAAAAAAAATGTTTTTTTAGTCAACCTTGCTTGAGGAGAGACTGCATTTTATTTTCTTTGTCGAAAATATTATAATTTTATTATATAAAGAGATGACAAAGATGATATAGACAAAAAATAGTGGCATGTCAGGCAGTTAATAAAACCCAACGGGTTTGGTTTACTTTTGGGTTTTTTTTTTTTTTGCCCTGTATTATTCAGTTGTTAAAATATGGTAAGTTGATTCATTTATGCATACTTATGACATTACCCACATGAAGGTTTTATGTAAATTTTTCACATGACAAAGAAGCTTGCTATTGGACCATCCTGTGAATGTATGTGGAATAAATTGATTCATTTAATTAAACAATATTTAATGAGACAATAATTAAGCAAATAATTTTTTTTTGTTAAACTAAGGTAGTTTGGAAGGTTTCCCAGAATTCTTCCTGAAAAGTGTATTACATCCTTCATCCATAGATTGAAAAGAAATCTTTGAAGTGCATGGCTTCTTTTTAATTTAATTTTTGAACAGATAATACATTTAAAATCAGAATAATTTACAGTAAAAAATTGACCTAAAACCTAAAATGAAAGGCTGAGTCAGAGGCATGGGAGAATACAGTAGAATTATTTCATGTAATTCAAGTCTGGGACAGCACAGTCTTAAGATACAACCCCAGTACTGTGCCCCTGGACTTAATGACTCACAAGCTATCTGGAAGTCCCCTAAGACTTCTATTAACTATGTTCACAAAAAGCCTGTCAAGTCTTAGATGCCTTGAGTGAGGACTCACTCATCTCAGCTCTTCCTAGAAGGGGGCTTCGTCCTCCCCTCAGTGTGGTAAACAGTACAGGAGATCACCTAAGTGGCAGGAGGAGGGAAAGGGACACTCCGCCAACTCTGTTGCTAGGAAACCTGAGCCCTTCCAAACACCTTTGTTCCCGCCTTGGAGCTGTATCCTGGTTCTGGATTGCTTGAGTTGGAAATGAGCTCTGCCACTTACCAGCTGTGTGTCCTTAGGCCAAGTACTTATCCTCTCTGTGCCTAATTGTTTTCCACATCTCAAAAGTTGTTCTAGTAATAGTTATTTTTATAGGGTTGTTGTAAAGACTAAAGGAGCTAATGAGTGTCAAGTATTTAGAACACTGCCTGGCACATAGTAAACACCACGCAAGTGCTGACTACCATTGGTTGTTAACTAATTAAGGGCTAACCTCATCCAACTTATATGGTTTCTGAATTTACCAAGGTACTGTCATCGTCTGGTTTAAGCACTGTTGTCAAACTTACAAGTCAGCATGCATCAAAATTGCCCGGAGGGCTCTTAGAACAGGTTTCTGGGCCCCCTTCCTAGAATGTCAGTCAGTCTGGAGTGGGGTGCAAGAATTTGGGCTCTAACAAGTTCCAGGTAACATTAATGCTGCAGGTCCGGGAACCAGACTGTGAGAACCACTGGCATATAATGAGATTCTCCATTGTTTATTGAATTTTTGTTTCATTCGTGTCATGGTATAAAACTAGGATAAAATTCAGGAAGGTTTATTTGCAAAGGAGTGTTTACAAAAGTGTGCACAGAGTATAGAACTACAAAAGATAATGCAATAATTTGGAGCTCTTTTCACCCCAAACCCAAAGAGATGAGAGGAGGAAAAGTAACTGAATCCAAATGGTGGTGAAGTAATTTGGAAAAGGATAGTGATAATGGTTGCACAACGTGAAGAATGCAGTCAATGTCGCTGAATTACACAGGTAGAAATTATTGGCGAATGTTGTGTATATTTTCATCGCAATAAAAAGAAAAGTAACTGGAATCCATAGAAGAGAGTCACTTGAGAGAAGCCCTTGTTCTCTTTTCAAGAAAGATGGTCAG